AAAGAAGAGAAAGATTATGGGTCCCCCTAAGCCCAAAACCTAGCTGGGAAAATTTCAATAGTTCAAAACTTCAAAAGACTCAAGAATAATTCTCTTTTGTTTGATGCTCTGCCCTCGGGGTCACTGGAGAGGTGGTCTCACCTCTGAAACCTCTGGAGAAGCAGCTTGGCCATAGGGTTCATATGGGCAGCCCTGACTCTAGGATGCAGTGCAGTGGTGTCTGAAGCTGCCACATAGGAGTTGAGCGCCCCCTAGCTTCCAGCGATGGAGATGTGGAGAATGGCTTCCCTGTCCTCAGAAGCAGGTGGATTCCCATCTCTGCTCAGCAGGGGAGTAAGGCTCTAGGAGTGGGTATTACCAATGAGATTGGACTGCCTTCTTGTTTGGATGGAATGTTCTATGAAATGACTCCCCTCAATATATAAGACTTAAGAATGTGCTCCCCTCTCTCTTTTGTCTGCCTCTTTTGCTTCCCTTGTGGGATCTGGGACTGAGGAGCCATTATTGAAACCAAGAAAAAGGTACTTTCTGTGTCTAATTATTTAATAGCCAATCCGATTCTCTGGAGTGGCCCTGATTGATTTAGTCACATGTCATGGCACAGTGGGGACTCCCTCTTTGAGTCCTAGTTGCAGGCAGTCTTGCCCCCCCCCCTGTACTCTGATGGAGTGGTGGCCTAGGGTAGGAGTGGCAGCCCTTATTTTCTACTGTAATGGAAATTGCCTTAGTTAATTCTCTTCAAAGTTTTTCACTATAGTGATTTTAGTGGTTGCTCTAGAATTTACTGTCGAAGAAACTACTTCAGATTTAAGCTCACATGATTGCAGTGAGATGGCAATTCTATTCTCTATCGCTGTATTTCCTTTTCTTTTTTTGTACTGTCTTTAAACATATTTCTGAATATGTTATAAATCCAAAATTTTATTTTAAGATTTGCTTTGTGTAATTTTGAAAAATTTCTATTTCTTTGTCTTCAAGCTCACTTATCTTTTATTCTCCAGTGCAGGGTCTATCTTAATCTCACCTTACAACTCAGAAACTTTCATCTTTGGAATTTTGATTGTGATCTTTATGTGCTCTCTTTTATTTTTTTGTTCATTTGTTTACTTTTGTGTTACTATGGATCAAATACAGGGATCATGCACACTAGGCAAACCCTTGAAATCTAGACTTTCAGATTTTAATTTGAAACAGGTCAGTGCTGAATTTCCCAGGCTGGTCTTGTACTTGTAATTCTCCAGACACAGCCTCCCAAGTAGCTATGGTTACAAGCTTGTGCTTAGTAAATATAGAAAACGACAAATCCCAAAACAGTGTGGCCTGGGAAGAGGTAGTGAAGATGAAGACAAAATTCTGATAAAATTGATCCTTTCCCAATGCATTCTTTCCCAATGACCAGGAAGGTCATTGGAGGAGACATCCATCAAGTCTAGAATGACAGTCTCTGATAAACCCTTTACTAGATACTGACCACTGACCCCATCCTGTCCAGTAAAAACAGATCTCAAATTCCTCAGTGCCCAAACTGATACATTCATTAATCAAGTCACTTCTCAGTGTAATTATATAAGCACAGACTCCCCCTTTGGCCAGTGGCTCAGTTTCCACCAGGAAAGTGGGCCCATCAGAGAGAGGCATGAATCTACCACTAAATAAAGGCTCTGAAGTTCCATGAAATTTGCACCTGGCTGAGTCCTTTTGTGCTAGCGGTGACTCTTCTATATCTTATGTCTTTTATGTAACCTTCTGAGCATGAGCAATTCATTTACAATAACTGTCTCAGTGTTAGATTTTCTGGATTGTTTTTCTCTGCTGTATGTGTTGCATTTTCTTGTTTTCATTGCATATTTGTAATTTTTTGTTTGATGCCACATATTATTCACTGATAGGCTCACACCCTTCTATACACTCTATCCAATATCCAGCAAACAATGAGGCTTTCCAGCATGGACATGGGAACAGTCAACTCCCTGAGGCTTTGCCTCTGCACCTTGCTTCTGTCTCCTGGATTTTCTGTCTTCTGGATTTCTCTACATTGCCTCTTTCATTCCTTTTCTATCAGAGGTTGCAAATTGTTAGACTTGTCCAATGTGTGAATATCTATCTTTTTATGAATTTCTTGTGTTTGTGACTCCATATTAGCTCAAAGCAAAAGTCAGTGAGCTTAATTTTAAGACAATTGTTATGATTTTACTTTCTAATAATTAGATGTGGTGTCTTTGAAAAACACTTAGATCATGATTAATTTCCTACTTCTATAGGCACTCGAAGGTTGTCATAATTTTTTTTGTATATAACACTGGTTATGACTTGTAATATTCTGTTTCTTAATTCAAATATGGACATCTTATGAGCTTCCTTCTACTATCTGTTTTTTACTGATTTTGATCCCATTATCATTTTCCACTTGTACCTACACATTTCTGCTCCTAATCTCTCATTTTTGGAATAAATTATGTAAATTTTTGTCACATTGGTTAAATATGGATTCCATACAAATCTTTATTCATTCTTCAAAATTTGAATCAATGCCAACCCATGATATTTATAAAGCAAAAACCAAGATTTGAACTTATTTGACCCCAAATTCTAAAGCCAATCAGGACAATAAACCTAACAGAGTACAGGGTGGCGAGTACAAATTCTCAGAAACATTTGTGTTGTTTCTTTTTTTAATTTTTTTTTCTTTTTGCCTGGCTTAATGTAAGTTTTCTAAGAATTCTTGGGTAGGAACAAGAAAAAGATGTTTATTTCTTACACAGAGGATACAAATGTTTTGTTTCCTAGATCTAATGGAAAGCCAGGATGTCTCCTATTATTCTCCCTATTCAAACTATCTCTGAGGATATGATTGACTATTGAGTGTTTCCAAAGCCTACATGTTAGATGCCAGGTCCCTAGGCAGTGATAAAGGGAGATGGTGAAATCTTTGAGAGGTGGGGCCTATTGGGAGGTTCTTAAGGCATTGGGGTCTGTGTCCTTGAAGGACATTGTTGGGACACCCTCCACCTTCTTGTTCTCCTTTGCCTCCTGCTGAGGAGGCAAGCAGTGTTGCCCTATCCAGTGTCCCCAACAGGATGTGTTACTAACAGTTCATTAGGGAGTGCTGGTAAAGTCCATTTTCAAAATGTGCATAGCATCCAACCACTTCCACTACTTTTCCTACTCAAACCCAACCTCCAGCATAGGACTGACTAGTTACCTACAGTTACCTGCTCCCTTGCTAATCCTTTGTTCTCAGCTCCGCAGTCAGAGAGATAATTTGAAAAGATTCACCTTGTCTGTTTTTGCTCAAAACTGCCTCACTCAGAGTAAGATTCCTTCCATCAACTTCCAGATCTTCAGTGAGTGGCTGTGCCTCTGACTCCTCTCAAGGATCTTCTCAGAACATCCCAGATCCTTGTTTTTCCCAGAACACACACACACACACACACACACACACACACACACACAGGATTCTGCCCTTGTCCATTTGCACTGGATCTTCCTTCTCCCTAGAAAAATCTTCCTCCAAACAGCCCCAAAAATTCCTTCAAGTCTTTCCAATCTATCCTTAAAAGCCACCTTGCTGGGGGCTGGGATTGTAGCTCAGTGATAGAGTATGAGGGACTGAGTTCAATCCTCAGCACTACATAAAAATAAGTAAATAAAATAAAGATATTGTCCATCTACAACTAAAAAAATATTTTTTTAAAAAAATCACCTTGCTAATAAGCCCCATGCTGAACACCTAATAAAACAGCAATCTTATATTTAGTGTCCCCACATACCCACTCTGAGACCTTCTATGTAACACTGGCTAAAATAAATACTGTCCTTATTTACTGTGCTTAGAGTGTGTCCTCTTCATCTTTTTTCCTGACATAGGCTCCACAAGGTTAGAATTTTTGGTTTGTGTTCAGTTCCTTGATAAATCCTAGATGCAAAATGTGTGTCATATAATCAGTACTCAACAAATGAGAGCTGAATGAATGATCAGTGTCAACCCTTCCCTCTTCTACAGACACCATTATTATTAATGGTCTCAGACTAAATGCTGCTGTGGCATCTGCAGCAAAAGGGTTTCTTACATTGAGGTCAGAGTCATTTCTCACAAGTGCTGCCCTCCCTCTCTTCACACTAGCCCTTCTGCACCCCATGGCAGCTAAGTACATTTTGATCTTAAAAAAAAATGATCCTTGACTAATGGATCATATTTCTCAACTAAACATCTATTGATCTCTATTTGATCAATCCAGAAATCTGTAAAATCAGGATTAGTAGAACTCAGGGCAGTAAAAGTGCTGAGTAGAGAAGGTAGAACCCTAAGAGGGATTTGTCTAAAGTGAGAAATACATGAGATCCTTCCTCTCTGCTATTTCCTTAATCTGATTCCTTAAAAATATGAGAGAAATGATGGAAAATACAATCCAGGAACCACTGTGGGTTTTGCAGAATAATGACAAGAAAAAAGATTTCTTCTTGTGATCAAAGACAAGAGACACTCATAGTAGAAATTACTAACAAAAAACAGGGATAATTCTCTGTAGAAACTGAGAAGCACAAAAATATGGGAGCAGAAGGTCAGGCTCAGGTCTCACCCTATATTAACCCACTCCCAGCCCACAATCCTAGAGACAGGACCATGATGATGCCTGATTTCCTGTCATCACAGGTCCTGGTGGGATGAGGTTCAACTGAAAGGACAAGGACTAAGAAGCAGGGGAGATAATCAAGCTGAGGAGTGACCACATCAAAGTCCTTGATGGACTAAGCCAAGTCTTGGTGGCAACTTTCCCACTCTCAGCTCCTTTCGTCCTTACCTCGTCTCTACCTGCAGCAGAGTCAGCACAGCAAACACATGCATTCTTGAATGTTTCAGGTTTTATTATATTTTTTATTTACATTTTTAGTACAGGGAATTGAAACCAGGGCACTGACCCCAGTCCTTTTTTTTAATTTTACTTAGAGACACGGACTCACTGAGTTGTGTAGGACCTCATTAAGTTGCTAAAGCTGGCTCTGAACTCGATATCCTTCTGCCTCAGCCTCCTGAGCTGCTGGGATTACAGGCATGGGACAACTATGCCCAGTTCAGGTTTTCTTTTCTCTTAGAAACTTTAGGATTTTTTTCTTAAATTTAATTAACCAATTGACCATATATCCTGTCACAAATTTGAAATACAAATCAATATCTACATTCTATTTTTCAATAGGGAAGGGAAAACTACAGTTCAGGGCAACATATAGCTAAATCAGGAATGGAGACATCCCAGACCCACATCTGCTACACAGGAAAACTGACTGGTCAGAGAACCTGGTCAGAGAACAGGACAGTGTGGGGAGGGGTCTGTGTGCTCCAGGATGGTCTCTTCTCTCTATTTCCCTCACATTATGCTGAGAGGAGCACAGACATTAGACATAGTTAGATGCCAGTTGCACAAAGAGAAGTCAGGACTTCTTGAATTCCCAGTAGGGAACTGGAAGAAAACAGAAAAAAAAAAATCCTGTATTGCTTGCTCAGTGACACAGAAGGTAACTATCTCAAACTGTAAAAGAAAGTATTATGAACAAATTCAGATTAGTCAATAAGTGGAGACCCTCTGAACAATCTATTACACACTCAAAATTTCTAAATCCTATAACCCAGGAATCTCCTTATACTCCAACCCCTCTTCCTCTTCAGGCCTTCTATGGGTCTCACCTTTTCAAGCAGTGAGAGTCATATCAGAGCCCTGGTACTGTCATTTCCTGGGCAGAACAAAAATAGAACTTGGTCAGAGCCCATAGGAGATGTGGAGAGTGGAGAAATTATGGCATGGATTAGCTCCCCTCTAACTACCCCCAAAAGTCTCAGGGATCACTGTTCTTTATCCTTCAGGCAGCTGGAGTGTTATGTCCATCCTTTTCCACCTGTGAGAAGAAAGTATCCTGTGAGAGAATGGGTTGGAGACAGGTCTTAGAGGTACCCCCTAGACCTGGACTTTGTGGAAGATTCTAGAACTGTGATGATTCCATTCCCTTCCAGATGCAGGGAAGAATCAGGAGACAAGAAGAAAGAAGGTGCATAGGAATGGAACAATGACTGTCCTGGAGTTCTGTCCTCAGCAGGGAAATTCCCATCTAGCCTCTAAATGCTGAGAATCAAGTCCCCTTCAATTTTATCAGAAGGATAAAACTGTCCTTAATTTTCTATGTGTTTTACAAAGAGTAAAGAGGGTCCAGGTTGGGCAGGCATGTTTTTTTTTTTTTTTAATTTACTGATAACAGGTTACCTTTATCCAGTAACAGAACCTGAAATGACATAAATAAACACCAAACACATCTGTTATTTTTATATAAATCTGAAAAAGACTTTTGCTACAGATAATTTTAGTTTGGAGAACACCAACTTGGTAAATTGCTCTTCTCATCTTTATATTGTTTTTTTGTTTTTTTTGTTTTTTTTTTTATTGCTTGTTCAAAACATTACAGAGCTCAAGACATATCATCTTTCATACATTCGACTCAATTGGGTTTTGAACTCCCCAAATACATAATACAGACTCACTTCTGTTACATACTCACATTTTTACATAATGGCATATTAGTGACTGTTGTATTCTGCTACCTTTCCTATCCCCTACTATCCCCCCTC